CCTACGGAGGTCCCCCCCGGGAAGGAGGGGGTGGCGGCCAGGGGAGAGCAAACAACGAAACCCTAGCAGAGCACAAAATATCTCAGAGCATGCGCACCTTCATTTGTCGTACTCTCGAGCAGAGCAGTTTCCAGAGTCGCAGGAATTTTCAAACCACCGAATTAAATATTGATTCCATTTTTTCAGTGTTGATAATACTATTGATCAAGTGGACGTTCGACCGAGGATCTAGCTATTTTGTGAAAGACGTGCTTTTTGGAAGCTATGACAATATTTTATCACCAAAAGTTTTTTGCAACTCATATTGTAGCAAGTTTAACTTGTTATTATTCCTTTTTTTTTTTTTCCTTTTTTTTTTTTTTGGGTGAAATGAGGGCTTTAGCCCATTCTATTAAAATAAACCAAGAGGATTACAATGATAAAAACAAAAAAAGAGTTGCCTGGACAAAAAGAAGGCAACCAGCAAAACCAAAATTATAATCAACTATAAACCCCAAAAAGAAGAACCCAAAAATCAGACAGAAAACCTGTCTGGCCTGGACTTAGAATTAGATATTCCAATCATGAAGGCGATCAGTCTCCTTTGGTTGCCCGTAGACCGTCCAAAAGGAGTGGCAGGATTCATCATCGTCCACGACCCAAAAAAAGCCTGCCAAAGAGGGCAACCAGCAAAACTGAATTTATAATTAACTATAAACCCCAAAAAGAAGAACCATAAAAACAGACAGAAATCCTGTCTGGCCTGGACTCAGAATTAGATATTCCAATCATGAAGGCGATCAGTCTCCTTTGGTTGCCCGTAGACCGTCCAAAAGGAGTGGCAGGATTCATCATCGTCCACGACCCAAAAAAAGCCTGCCCAAAATACTCGAATCCGGCATTACATCAACTGCAGAAGAATTTGGGCAGCAAGAGAGAATGCCACCAGCAAATCCAATTGTAAATTATGGCCTGCCAATTAATACCATCCAGCGCCAACCCCACATCATAAAGAGTGGCCTGCCAATTAATACCATCCAGCTCCAACCCCACATCATAAAGAGTGGAATACCAACAATTGCCCAGCACATGAGCATAAACCAAAAATTTTTCCAGAAAGAACAAACGGCAGCACAAAAAACCCATAGAATACCCCTTCCAGCAAAGATAGAAAATAGCCCATAACGAGCAGCCAACTTCCAACCGAGGGCAACCAACTTCCAACCCTCCAAATACCAAATTGTCATTGAAGAAGATATGCCCCATCAAAAGGCAAATTAATGGTAGGAGACCATAAGCTTTTCTTTTATCAAATTTCCACATTTCCAACTATCCAGTTTCAGGTAAACAGATCTAAGAATTCTCTTAGCAAGCGTGACAGCACAAGCAATCCTCCCGTTATGCTTCCTAGAATTCCGCTCAGCCCACAGGAAGTAAACATAAATATTTAAAATCAGCAACAGTCCAAGCTTAACCTCCCTAATAAAATCCAACCCAGCAATGAACTGAAAGGCTTGAGCTAGGTTGGGTCTAAAGAGAAAGCAGGAAAATTGAGGAATAAGCCTACAGATAACCTGAAAAGAATAATCACATTCAAACAATAGATGTGCCGTGGTTTCAGGGTGAATATGACAAAAGGGGTAAGTTATATTCCCAACATCTATATTTCTCGCACACAAGGCAACCGAAGTCTTGAGACCATTAGAAAGGGCCATCCAGGAGTAAACTGAATGTCTAAGAGAGTGCTTTTTGTGCCACACCAGATGAGCCCAGTCAACATCATTCTCAGAGGAAAAAAATTCTTTATAAAAATCCTTGAAAGAAGCATTTTCATTGTTTTCCCATGTTAGATGTTTGTTACTGTCACTAGATATAGGGATGGATCTAAAGAACTCAAAAATCTGGGAGTTAATAGAGGTAGGAAGAGACCAAGAGGATCCAGCCATCCAATTAGCAAGACAAGCATTATCCTGAATGACAGAGCCGTAATCAAAGTTAGGAAAGGACTCCAGGAATGAGCCGTTGGAACACCAAGGATCCCAAAGGATATTAATGGAACTTTTAGCCAGGACTTTAAATTTAAAATTGCTTTTAAACAAATTAGCATAATTATGTAAACTTTTCTAGAAGGCAGTGCTGTGTCGAGGAGGTGGCTTCCAGGGCGAAGAGTATCTAATTTTGATCCATCTAGAAAGTTGAGAGTCTATATTATAGATCCTGAGAATAGTATCACAATTGTAAGCCGATCTGAGAGCATGTAAAGAGGCAATGCCAAGGCCTCCTTTAGAGAAAGGCATAGTAGAATTTTTCCAAGAAATGAGATGCAATCGCTTAGAATGATCTCCACTGTGGTAAAGAAATTTGGAACAAGCCTTGTCAATTGCCTTCAAAATCGTTTTGGGGATAATAGATCCTCTAATCCAATAAGCCACAAGGTTGGTGATAGTGTATTTGACGAATTGAAGTCTACCTGCAAAAGAGAGGAACTTAGCTTTCCAGCCGGAAAGAAGGTTAGTAATTTTGTCAATGAGAGGGGAAAAATCGGCAAGCTTGGTTCTTCCCAGAGAAATGGGAATACCCAAGTAAGGAATTGTAGTAGAGCAAGTGTGGATGTGAAGGGCTTGAGATATGGAGGAAGAGATGGTGGCAGTGGAGGAAAAAAGGAGAGAGCTTTTGTTGAGGTTAAGGTTGAGGCCGGAGAGGCAAGAAAATTGGTGAAGAATGCTCATAAGATTTTCACAATTGTTAATGTCAGCTTTACCAAAAACAAGCAAATCGTCAGTATAAGTAAGATGAGTCAAATGGAAATTTCATAATGAAACCCTTCAAAATTGTTCATGAGAGCATTATCTTCAATGAGGCAAGAGAGAGCATCCATGATGAAGCAGAAGAGAAAAGGGCTCAAGGGGCAGCCTTGCCGAAGACCAGAGGAAGAGCTAAAAAAGCCTTCAAGCCCACCATCAATACAAATTGAAAAATTGATATCACTAATGCATGCTTTAATCCACTGAATGAAAAGAGGAGGGATCCCCTTTTGCGCCATCCTAGCAAAAAGGAAATCCCTAGACACAGTGTCGAAAGCTTTCATGATGTCAAATTTTGAACAAAAAAATCTGTCCTTTTGAGTCTTTGAGATGAAACTAAGAATCTCAGCCGTAAGGATTGGCCAAGTTTTTTTGAAAGAAAGACTTAACAGCATGGCAGACCGAAATTCCAGTGATTGGCCAAGTTTTTTTGAAAAATTCTGCATTAAACCCATCTGGCCCAGGTGCAGAGGAAGAGCAGCCAGAGTTAATAGCCTCCCGGATTTCGTCATTTGTCACAGGTTTAATCAACATAAGCTTTGCATTTTCAGACAACCGGTTCCCAACCGGAATTATCTCCAGATTGTTAATCAAAGGAGGAGGGGAGTTATATAGATTTTGAAAGTGTTGGATAATACCACTGAAATATGCATTTTGAGCTTCTCCACAGATAGCAGAATTAAGGATACACCTATTGTGTGATTTCCTCCAATTAATCTTGGAGTATAAGAATTTAAGATCCTCTTCACCATGCTTTAACTATTTAACCTTGGCTCTTTGAATGATCCACTTGGCTCTTAAGGAGTTATAAAGAGCAAGGTCAAGATTGACTTTTTTAAGATAGCCACAAAGTTGAGAATTGAGAGGATCCAGATCAACAAGGTGCTGATAATGCTCTTGGAGAAATGATAATTCCGTGCACTTAGCCTCAAGGAAAGAAGAAGATTCCCAGTTTTTTTTCTTAATCCCCTCTTTCAGAGCCTTGAGCTTATGATACAAGCTGTGAATAGGATTTCCAATAGATTGTGAAGCAAAAATATCAATAAGTAAATCCCAAAACTCTGGAATTTTGCACCAATAGTTTTTAAACATGAACCTCTTCTTGCTAGCCCTCTTATTATTAGATTCCATAAATAAGGGAGTGTGGTCAGACACCAAGCTGTTACCAACAAAGTAGTGAGAATTAGGAAAGATGATAACCAAGTGTCATTGATAAGAATACGATCCAGCTTAAGGTGAATGGGATTGTCCGCCCTTTGATTGAACCAAGTGAAAGAATTTCCCGAGGAAGGAAGGTCCACTAGGTTACAATCAAAAATAAAGGAGTTGAAGGGAGCCATCCTAGAAACATTTATGCAAGCACCACCAGACTTTTCAGAATTATACCGGCAACAGTTGAAGTCACCAAAAACAGCCCAAGGCATACCATTATTAGGACAACAATTCCTAAGCTCGTCCCAAAGAGTATTTCTTTCATCAAATGAGTTAGAAGCATAAACCACAGAAATAAGAAAGGTAGAATTGGATCCATAAGTAACAATACCGGTGATAGCTTGCTTTGAGATATTTGTAACAACAAAGGAGATCTTGTTAGCATTCCATTTAATCCAAATGCGACCAGGATTAGCCAAATTGAAGTTGTTAGAGCTCAGTTCATTCTCAAAAATTGAGTGAGTCTTACAAAACCAAGGGTCTTGCAAATTTGAAGCCAAAATTCTATTCTCAAGTATGCAGAACATGTCTAAATCATGATCAGAAGTCATCTTTTTGCAGCATAACACTTTGTCAGGGTTATTGAAACCCCTGACATTCTAAACCGCAATGTTTGGAAGGATCATGACTTACTGTTGGATTTATGGCCTTTCTTGGAGCCCTTCCCTCTAGTGTTTTTATGTGGCTGGTCATTAGGCTTTGAAGAAGAGGATGAGGTTTTTTTCTCGGAAGGAGAGCTGGCCAAGTCAGCCAAAGAGTGGTCATTGATACAAGCTTCCAAAAAGTTACTTAAGGTAGCTTCAGAGTCTGACAAGAGATTAAGGAGGTTGAATTTATTAGGAGAGGAAGATTTCAGAGGAGATTGGGCTGTTGGCAGTTGATTAGAACATTTAGGTGGTGAAGAAGTAGGTTGTTTTAGTGGAGGGTCAGAAGTGGAAGAGGAAGGAATGTTGGGAGAGTTGAGATTTGGGATAGTTGCGGTGGTTTGTGGAGTGAGGATTGAGACGAGGTTTTCAGGAGTGTGATTGGGTAATGAGGTTTCAGCGGTTTGAATATCCGGCAAAGAAGGTAAGGATGAAAGTGTAACAGTAGGAAAATGGTTAGTGGAATCCGGTGGTGGGATAACTGGTTGTTCTGGAGGAGAAATAACATTCTGCGACACGGAGAGGGATTTCCCAGGGGAGGAGGAAGTACGAGGAGTCGGAATGGGAAGAATACCTGCAGGATTGTTCGAAGGAGGTCTGGGCCTGTGGCTTGTGCTCCTGCCGCGAGGAGATTTTGGTGGAAGAACAGCAGAGGGATTTGGGTTTGGGTTTGATGGGCAGAGTTCGGAAGAGTGGTTAAAGGATTTGCAAAAATCACATATAGAGGGACGCCATTCATATTGTATGACTAAATTGAAGAGTTTCCCTTCAACCGTAATCGGAACAAAAGCAGGGTAAGTGGCGGAAGCGTCAACGAGGACACAGACTCTAGCATAAGTCTGGATTTGGAGGCAGTAAGGGAGTAAACGGCTACCGGAGCTCCAATTTTAGTTGCAATCTTAGAAATCCCGACGGGAGTCCAACAGCATAAAGGCAAATCATGTATTTTGAACCAGATAGGCACACTAGTAAACTCTTCTCTTTTGGGACTAAAGTGCGAAGTCCATTTACGGAAAATGAAAGGTTTACCAAAAATAAACCAAGCACCCTTGTTCCAGACCATCTCAAAATCTTCACGGCATGAAAACTTGAACAGAAAAAACCCATCACTAAGAGAGATAAGTTTGATATTACCTTTGAGATCCCAAAGCTTCTTAACGGCATTAAGAAGGGATTCATAGAAAGGGCGTTTACCCAGGGAGTATCCAACCAGGGCTAGGTTCCATTCTTCAACTGCATCAGCAATATCCAAAGTAGGGAAGTCGATGATTTCTTCTGGAGTTGGCAGGGTGGAGATGGTGAACTCTCCAGTAGCTGGAGGGTTGGAGAAGACACGATCCCACGGCAAGGCTGAAGAGGTTCCAGCAATAGAATGAGGAGAGGAGTTGGGAAGAGGAGGGAAGGATGAAGGATGAAAAGAGGGATCCATAGGATCCCTCCGGTGGTGGCGGGGGAAGAAAAATGCGCGAGAGAAAAAAAGAAAAAAACCCTAGCGGAGTTTCTCACACTAGGATTTTAAAGAGAGAGCAAAGCTGAGAACTTTTATTCCTTTCTTAAACATGACCGTCTGTATCTCCAACGGAATTATTATTAATA